TCCCTTTCCAGAGCATTTTAGCTTGAAAATAGAAAGATCGTCGGTATATATATATACTTCTGTTATTCGCACCGGTGCGAATAAGTATGGCCCTATGTCCTTTCATAAAATGTCAATTTTAGAGTGAATATCCCCCCAAAAACTCCAAGCCCCATTTTTATATACTCTCCCCCAAAGAAACCCTTTTCCCGGGAAATCTTCCCTTTCCAGAGCATTTTAGCTTGAAAATGGAAAGATCGTCGGTATATATATACTCCTGTTATTCGCACCGGTGCGAATAAGTATGGCCCTTTGTCCTTGCATAAAATGTTTATGCACACAGGCAAACTTTCAAATTTCATTTATAAATTTCTTATTTTATATTGTGAGGATAACATATAAAACAACGCTTGAAATTTGTATGTTTATTATGTAGGCTACATATAGATTCAGTCCAGAACTCTTGATTTCCGTTTCCTGTATTTAGTAGCACCTCTCAAATATTGACCTCACATCGACCAATGGTTTTCATTTGACATAACGTCAATAACGTCAAATATTATTCACCCCGCGGAGCGAATAACAGGATATGCCGGGAAGTCTTCCCTTTCCAGAGCATTTTAGCTTGAAAATAGAAAGATCGTCGGTATATATATATACTTCTGTTATTCGCACCGGTGCGAATAAGTATGGCCCTATGTCCTTTCATAAAATGTCAATTTTAGAGTGAATATCCCCCCAAAAACTCCAAGCCCCATTTTTATATACTCTCCCCCAAAGAAACCCTTTTCCCGGGAAATCTTCCCTTTCCAGAGCATTTTAGCTTGAAAATGGAAAGATCGTCGGTATATATATACTCCTGTTATTCGCACCGGTGCGAATAAGTATGGCCCTTTGTCCTTGCATAAAATGTTTATGCACACAGGCAAACTTTCAAATTTCATTTATAAATTTCTTATTTTATATTGTGAGGATAACATATAAAACAACGCTTGAAATTTGTATGTTTATTATGTAGGCTACATATAGATTCAGTCCAGAACTCTTGATTTCCGTTTCCTGTATTTAGTAGCACCTCTCAAATACTGACCTCACATCGACCAATGGTTTTCATTTGACATAACGTCAATAACGTCAAATATTATTCACCCCGCGGAGCGAATAACAGGATAATGCCGAAATGGCTTTTGCATACTATAGGATGAACATTTAAAATATGAAAGTAATATTAGTAACTTACCAGAAATGGAAATCTGTCCAAAGTCAAAAATGTCTTTTATGAATATATATAGACTGGTCAAATCAACCACTGAACAAAGAATGCTCATAATAAAGTGGGAAAACTCCAACCCAGTCAATAAAACCAGTAGAATCAGACCTTTCAAATCAATAACCAATAAAAACCAAAATAACAATAACCACTTCCAAAACACCTGACCAATGCCCTTAAGTAATATATAAGTATGTACAGGTAAGGGAGAACTAAGAGGTGGATCTAGGTTTTGAATAACAAATTTAAATAAAAGTTAAAATATATATTCTGGCAAGTTCTGTTACTTTATTTTTGTACAAATCCAACACTATTATATATGTTATTTGCGTTCAAATTTTCACCGATTTTAAACTTGAACAACCTCATGTTTCCATAGTTAAATTGACTTGTAAATGCGGAGTCGGTAAATAAATCAGTAATTGTTTAAATTTTCTAACATCTTTAAAAGGTTATTGATTTAAATTGTGTTATTTACAGGAAAATCCTATCTTTATATTAAGTAATTAACCAAATGGGAAGATCCTTTTTTTTAATTTTAGTTAGTCTGAACTTGTTAAAAAAAAAAATACGCCATATGACTTTAAAGAATTTCTTGAAAATTCATAAACATAAAATTGTATCGTACTTTTACAGGTATAGTTCTGTATAGTTGAATTGATATAAATCTACTGTTTTTTGTGATGGGGGATAATGAACATGTTTATATTAGGGAACATTCACAACTATTACGTTTGTCACTCGGTTAGGCCACTGTTGTAAGAACTGTATCTGCATATACATTAAAATAAATTAATTTTAAAGCCATTGGTGAAAAAAGTTTTTTACCTTTGTAAAATTATCTTTAAAAAACAAACAAACAAAAGCAAAATATTTCTTTAGAAGTATGAAGGGAATTTAATTACACAAAATGAAACCAGAGCTCTTCATGCAATGCCGGGAAACATGGAAAAGCACTAACTAATCGAATTGATGGCCGAGTTGTTTTCTTTAGTCCTGTTTTAATTTTAAACCCTGCGGTTGTCATGTCAAGTTAATTGCTCTGTGTACTCTACCTTCCTATTGTCCCGTTTATTTCTTATCAAACAATGGTACATGGGGGTAGTAAATGTAAATACATGTGCAGTGTCCGGCCCATTCAGTTTAACTGTCTCGCTTTAACGGAGGGTTTTATATTTCTGTGCAATTTATCTGGGTTCGGGTTCCTTATATTTTTGAGAGATTTTATTTCATATTTCTAGGTTGAACTTAAATTAAATAGTCTTTTCTGCCGTTTGGAACAGGTCCGTCTAGTGTTAACGCTTTGGTTGAGACAGTTTTTTTTTTTCGGTGTCTTGATTCTAATTTAATTCACCGGTAAGTAGTAAGGACGGCTATACACCGGGGGTGAACAATGGAATCTATTGTTGTCAGAGGACAATAGAGAATAATGGAATCTATTTTTACATTCTATTTTTATAAGAATACAATGGAGGGCGGATCTATAGGTAGAAATAGAAGGGAAACAATAAAGTCTATTATTAGCAGAACAATGTATGACCTAATTCCATACACTGGAGGTGGACAATGGATCTATGATGAACAGAAGGAAGATGACCTTGATCTAATTTCAGTCTAAAACAAGGGGATAAACAATGAGTGTATTCATATCAAAACGAAATACAAAGCCTAGTGGAGAGTGACGTCAATGGAAAACCTTCTTTTTTACGTGACCTTGACCTAATTTTCAATTCATAAAAGAAGAAAAATCGTGAAAGGAATGATCATACCGTTACTGATCAGACAGCAGAGTACACGCATTTTAGAGGATGAATTCAAATAAATACGTTGACACGATGGAAAGAGAAGATGTGGGTTTTGGGATTTTCTTGAGAAAGGCTGCAGCTATAAAAATTCTCGTCGACGATTATATTGCAAACAACACGAACCCTGTGTCCTGTGACTACTGTGAAAAACATTACGTGTTGAGAACCCAACTCGTACGCGAAAAACACTGTCTCGTCAGACTGGCGTTAGAAACCAAAATGAATGTCATGAAAATGCCTACATTTTGTCTTCGTGTACAGGACATTGAAGACAAATCATGGAAAGAGAAACCCTTAAACATTTCAGAGGTTTTGAAAATGACCATGGTTGATGATATTCCCTACGAAGATATGATGTCTGCCTATTACGATTCAATCTGGGAAGATTTCTATTACGGTAGAGTTGAATTCCTGTGGCCTGACGGTGTTTGGCGTAAAGAAGACCCATGTGAATTCGTATGAATGAGACATTGAACTCTCAGAATGTATTTTTTTTTTGTTAGAAATACATTTATTTTTGCATGTGTAATTATAATAAATGATAAAAAAGGGTGTTTTTGTGTTGTTGTTTTTTTTTCCAATGTGACGTTCCTCCAGTTCGTTTGAATCAGAAATGGAAAAAAAAGCTGAAAGAAAAGAGATTCAAAGAGGAAAGCAGAAACAGGGTCGACACATGAAATAAGACATGATAATAAGTGTAGAATTGAAGGACGTCGATTTGAAGAAGATGTATACAAAAAAAAAAAATCCGTAGCCATTTTCCCCCCATCATCTCAAGAACCTTTGTAGAAAGAATAACAGGACATTTTTTTTTGTTGAAATGATGAAATTTATTGTACAAAAAATTGTAATTCCAACAGATATAACGATAAACGGCATCACATGCATATATAATATAATATAGACTATTGTTAAAGTCAATGTTTTTTGATCATTTTTATTCACTGTCCAATTCGCCAATTTTCCCATCCGTCGGGATTACAGGCGGGACATTTTAGCATTCCCAGTTGATTCAAATGATCATCCTGATCATAACAGGGTACGAATGTGTCCAATTCCGGTATGGAATTTAGGATTGTTTCCCATTGAGTTAGGAAGTGTTCATACTCCTGTGGTCTGAGACATAAGCCTTTTTTAGTTGGAACAGACTCATCGGCCTGGGGCGGTTTCCAGTACTGCCGTATGTCGACGCAAGGATTGTCTTCTTTCACGGAGACGTAAACATTGTATCCCAGGTGCCACTTCATTTCTCCGTTCTTTTTTAAGGTCTCATGTATGGACTCCATGAAATTAGACAGCGTTTTGATGTGATGCAGTTTCAAAGATATTCCTTTCTTGGTTGGTATGATTTTTTTCTCTCCCACTATATACTCTCGCATATCTAGTCTAACTTCGTTTTGCCAAAGGGTGACTTTGGCATAACGTCCATTTTCGAGAGCGACGGAGCAACGTTGATCTGACATGATGTGTTCTACAGGACGGTGAAGTCGAAAATGAAGCTATGTCTCTCTGAGCTTCGGTTATATAGCAAAAGCTTACGTCGAGGAAATACCATGACGTAAAAGTAGAGACCATAACAGCATTCGAACCATTGTTTCCTTTCACCTTGAAAAGAAATACTGTGTCAGGGTGTTATCAATCTCTGTTTGTGAACTCTTAATGACGTCAAAGTAAGAGAAGACCCTTTATATTTATGACAATAGGAGAGTGGCGTCATTCAAAAAAAGGTTTGTGAAAAAAAGAAACGCTTAGTCAGTGACGTCAATGACCTATATATCATAGAAATAAAAACTTTTTTGACGTCATAATGTTATAAGGTATTCATCGATGAACAAGGAAGTTTTTGTTGGGTTCAAGGACGAATGACGTCATTCAGAAAGAGAGTATATATGAGGGTCCTTTCCTGTCTCCATCTGTATTATTCGTTTGCCGTTGGAGAGATCAAGATGTCTTCTTCTCTAGATTGTGCCGTCAATTTTGTGGAGACGGATTCCGTTAGTGATTATCCTCGAAGCGATCATTCTTCTTTAAAAGATCAATCTTCCACCTCTTGGGATTCCAGTGCCAACTTTGCCTGGCGATACCAAGACACTCCTTTAGAAGAAGGGAGAAAGGAATGGCGAAATTTCGGAACTAGACAGATGACAATCAAAAACATTCCACCACCTCCACCTCAGCAGCGTCTCTGGCAGTATCCAGAGTACCTCACCTTTGCCTCTAGGATAGCCACGTATGGGGACTGGCCTAGATACTTAAAGGGACCTAACCGAAAAGATTTGGCTCGAGCTGGATTCATTTACACGCAGTTAGGGGACAAGGTGACTTGTTTTTGCTGTGGAATGACGCTGAAAAGTTGGGAGCCTTTGGACGATGCCTACCAAGAACATCTCCGTTGGTCCAAGAACTGCATGTATGCCCAGATGATAACCGACGGGAAAATGTAAAGAAAAAAGACGCAACTGTTCCCTGAATTAGATAGGCAAAGAACATTTGATAATGTGTGGTTTTTTTTAATGATTGGTATTGTTTTTGATTGCTTGTCAAGAATCCGAAATAGCCGATCTAGGACACGTACGTGCTCCGAGCCGTGTTGGCAAAGATCAACCATAGTAGTGAGATGAGCAGTCGAAAAAAAGTTTTTTTTTTTCTATGTTGTAAAAACAGAAATGGATGTAATAAAAATATGTCTTGTTATTGGTCTTGTGTCTTTTTTTATTCAATGATACACATAATTATAAGAGTGGAAGTATATTTGATATCGTGTCATTCCCACATTGTCCGTCACGACGTGTGGACATGGAAGAGTACCTGAAAAAAATATGGTACGATCCTCGGCATCCTGGATCGTTTGCCGGACCTTCCAAGTTGTATCAAGTAGTAAAACAAGAAGGCAAGTTCAACGTGGGTATGGGGAAAATCAAAAAGTTTTTACAGAATCAGGACGCTTATTCCCTTCAAAAGAAGGTGCGCCGAAAAGGGTTTAAGAGGAGAAGAGTCGTCGTACAAGGCATCGATTACCAGTGGGAAGCCGACCTTGCCGACGTTCAGAATCTGTCCGAGTACAATGACGGTATTAATTCCCTCCTGGTAATCGTAGACGTTTTTTCTCGCTACCTGTGGGTCCGTCCCTTAAGAGACAGAAAAGCTAAATCCGTGATGGATGCATTCAAGGACGTGTTCAGGGTCCGAGAAGACCGAAAGCTTTAAGGACCGACAAAGGATCGGAATTTTACAACCGACTTTTGCAACGATATCTCAAAGACCAAGGGATTAAGATTTTTTATGCTCTAAATGAGACCAAGGCCAACTTTGCAGAGAGATACATTCAGACTTTGAAAAAACGCTTGTACCGATATTTCACGCATCTCCAGAAATACAAGTACATGGACATCTTACAAGACGTGGTCCAATCTATCAACGACACTCCCAATCGTTCGTTGAACGGTCGCACCCCGGCTTCCGTGACGAAAGCAAACGAAGAAGAGGTGAGGTTAGACGCCTACCTCGTTCGTCGTCGAAAAGCCACCCAGGTCCCTCGGGTGAAGAAATCAAACAAGTCGAAGAAACGTTTGCCTTACAAGTTTAAGATAGGAGACCAAGTGCGGATCACACACCTACGACGTCCTTTTCAACGGGATTACGACCAAACCTACACGGAAGAAATTTTTGTGATTCGAGATCGATTGGTGTCTCAAGGCATCCCCATCTATAAATTGAAGGACTTGACAGACGATCCCATCCAGGGAACCTTCTATGCCAGTGAACTCCAAAAGGTCTTGAAAGACGAGGAGACCATTTGGAGAATCGACAAGATTCTGCGTAAACGCAAGGTTCGCGGAAAAGAAGAAGTTCTAGTGAGATGGTTGGGGTGGCCCAAAAAATTCGACAGCTGGATCCCGAAAGGCGATATAAAAGAGACGTGAGGGTTCCCCCTCTCGTCAGTTTTCGTGAAGATGTCGATGCGTATGGTTCTGAAGTCGACGGACAGTGCCACCGTCCACGTCGACAATCAACCGCAAAACTTTCGAGTGCGATTACCCAGACCTTTACCTTTAACGGGCGATTGGACGGTAGAACTGACCGAATTCAGAAACGCAAAACTCGGCAAGACTTCCGACAAGGAAATCTTTGTATACTGTTCCGTCTGTGACGACAGCATCGTAGGTGGAAGTCAGAAACCGCTTTTGAGACGCATCGTCTTGAAGGACGCAAACAACGTGATTTTTCTTCGTCCCTATAGGATTCCTTTGCGCACCAAGGACCTCAGAGACATCCACGTGTATATAAAGGATAAACAAGACGACGACGTCTCATTTTTGACCGGGGAGTCGACGGTGACGCTCGTATTTAGACAACTCTGAGAATGTCTGGACCGACTTACATATCGCATCCTGCATTGTGGGAGCAGTTTCGTCACACGCAGAGAGGAGAAAATTTCATTCCGATGATACGAAAAAAGAGTCAAAAAGGGGGTGGTATCTTAAATCGACGGAGGGCATACATGATTCCCGTGAAACCTGTTGCTTCCCCCAAGTCGGAAATCCATCAAGTAACTCCAGTCGCAGCCGAACGAGAAAGAGCCCTTTCGGATCTGAAAGAAACTATGCGTAACGACGAGCCCCACATGCCTCTTCGAAAGTCTATAAAAAAGAAGACCTAGAAGAAACAGCTCAGTCGTTCCTCGACTTTTAAAGAGAAAAGACGTGCTCCACCCAAGAAACGGAATCAGAAAAAAAAAATCTAAGAAGACGCAGAAAGGGAAAGGTCGACCTAATACGCACCCCGACGGAAAACCCATCTTTTGACAGTCATGTCTTTCCTGACCGAAATTAACACTTCTACGGCAGAACCATGCGAGCTTTCTCTCTTCACCGATCCTCCCAATCAAGTGGCTCTTCAAAAGATATATTTTTCTGAAACTCGACCTATCTCTTCCTTTGACGCGGACGACGCTCCGCTCGAATTTGCAATTCCCGGAAGTGGAAATGAGTATTTCGATTTGAGAAGAAGTCGGTTGTACCTGAAAGTGAAGATCACCAAACCCGACGGCACGGCCTTGGCTGCTTCTGAGAAGACGGGGATCGTTAACCTATCCTTACAATCTCTGTTCTCTCAAATTGACGTGTTTATGAATGGAAAATGTGTCACCCAGAATGCGAACAACTACCCCTGGAAAGCCTACCTGAAAGTGGTCTTGTCCAGCAGTGCGGAGGCCAGTAAATCTTATCTACAGACCCTGTTGTATTATCCCGACAAAGACGGTGTGGAGGATCCCAATGCCGCCTCGGGAAGAAATACGGGACTTCGATCTCGTTACGTCTTTACGCAAATGTCCAGGACCTTCGATTTAGAAGGGCCCCTGTACTTGGACTGTTTTTACTTGGACAAGTACCTCATCAACGGTGTTGACTTACAGCTGTGACTGTTTCGCTCTCGGAACGAATTTGTCCTGATGAGTGGCGAAAGTAGTCCCAATTATAAGGTCACCATCCTAGACGCCGTCTTTAAGGCCTGTAAAATCCGAGTAGACAGTGCCGTGTTGTTAAATCACGCCGAGACTATCACTAAGACACCGGCGCGATATAACTACCTGAAAACGGACGTTAAGATGACCACCATTCCAGACAAAACGAGTGAATTTTACTGGGACGACGTGTGGAACGGAAAACAACCTTCAAAGATGTACGTTGCCTTCGTCAAACAGTCGGCCGTCAACGGGAGCTACGGAACTAATCCTTTTAACTTTGAGCACTTCAACCTGTCCGAAATTGTGGTGACCGTTAATGGCGAACCCATCCCCGTTCGCCCCTTAAAATTTGACTATGGTAACAATCGGAACTACGTCACTGCACTTTGTAACCTCTATCAATCAAGTGAGAAATGGTACAAAGACGAAGGATTGACCATCGACAGAGACCAGTTCTCCAAAGGATATGCCATCAGGGTACATACCTCTAATTATTTTTAGAATCGGTAGGAGAAGAAAGTAGTGCAGAAAAAATTACAAGTTCCTTAATTTGTAGACCTGAATAAAAAAAAAACTGTTATAAGGTATTAAATTGAGCCTCATACTTGTTGATAAGGAGTATGTTCCCTTGCAAAAAAGCTTGTCAGATGTAATTTATCAAGAAGATCAGCAGAATTATTTTATGTATTATAACACCAGTGAGAAGTCTTGAAATCCCCTACTTTCACTTTCATTTTCAGAGGTTAACGCAGACAGACGCATTTTGCCAGAAAACGAATCTGACATGCCACCTCGAGATTTTAACCAAGGAAAGACAACTTGATGTGCTTTGATTTGAGGGGTCACTCAATGCTAAACGAAAATTAGGGACATTGCTATGTGAAGAAACGTTAACATTGCCGCCTATGGGAAAACAATTAGTGGGCTGTACCCAATATGAGGAGCCTATTGGTAAGAGAAAATTCTCATAGATCATTACTTTGTTTTGAACTCGTTGTTTACTATCATTTCCAATTGTTTAAATTTATGAAAGAAGCAAATTTGAATTTGTTTATACGTATTTTGAGACAAATTGATTTGTTAATACCCCCCCCCCCAGGAACAGACAGCTTATGCTCATATCTCCCATTGTGTACAAATGTAGCATGTAAATTAAATGTATCGATTTTATACAATTTATTAATTCAGAGCCATTAATAGATATTTAGAAAAGGAACAATTATTTTAGAAGTACATCCACCACTATTGTTTATTTTCAATACACAAAATTTCACAAATGAGGTCGGAATCGGTAATCAGTGAAGTTCAAGGTCAAAGTGAAAGTAGAATGGCAGTAAGTTATCAAAACTGCTTAGTGCTACCTAGTGCAGAGTCTTGCAGTATGTAGGTGATATGCATTTGTCATTTTATGAAAGAGGTAAAGAAAAAAAAGGTTTCCATGCCTTATCACAATATTTGTAAATGAAAACTTTTATTTTCATGGAATAGAATTACATCATGTGCATTCTTTCAAAGAAGTCGGTCAGGCTACAGTTGTGTAGAAGTTAAGCAGTGTGTGCGTGAACATGCACACTAACATTTTTTTTTTATTTTATTAACTGCATTACATGTATTTGTCTAATGTTTAATTATTGTCAGTAAACATGCTTTTTACCTGTATTATTAATTTACATGTAATTTAACAATGCTGAGACTAATAAGTGCAAATTCATAATTTTCAATTGATATCAAATTATGGGCATAAAAGGATTATGGTAGGATTTGTTTGTTTGACGTCTGTCTGTGAATGTTTTAGGTGCTTTATGATGCTGATTTATTATTGCACCATTTTTAAAATTGATTTTTTTTAGGATCATGGTGATACAGGACAATGTTGAGGTTCATGCAGATGTGTTTAAAACTATCAGTCAGTAAAAACCAACTCATTTGAACACATCTTGAGTCTTCACATGTAAAATGATGGCAGTACTTTTAATATGTAAGTTGAATTTTCTAAAGCTTCTTTGTGTGTGTCTAAGGGGGGGGGGGGGGTGTTAAAGCTTAGAAAATGTAGATTTTAAATATTTGAGCTATAAAAGTGACCATCAAACTAATCTGTACATGTATGCTATATATTTTACAGCTAATATATTTTAAAAAGAATTTCAAAACAATTACATTCATAGTGTTGTGTATGATAAAATATTAAGATTAACAAATTTAAGAGTTGAAATTTCTTTAATATTTATCAGTCAGAATGAGCGACTTGTAAGGAAATTCAAAATTTTCAAAGTTCTCTTTTATTTTCCTACAAATTACAAAATGGTTACCATGGAAACAAAACATTTTCTGTAGACTATTTATTTGATCTGCTCATGCAAGTATTTTTATCATTTTATAGTTGTAATGAATATTTTAGTTTTAATTTCATGTTTAATTAGAAGTACGGGAAAAGTAACACTACATGTGTAATAAGCAATCCATTATTATGATGTCATTATGACATCATAGATGAGTGAACTTGCACTGGCGTAAAAATTGCTTTGAAACAGATGAATGTATACAAGAATATAAAGGCTTATAACTTTTTTATTGCTACACCAATTTTCCTGAATGATACATCAATGGACAGGAAATAATCAGTACTTTCTATTTTTACCACTTTCAGGGTATTTGTAAACTTATTTTTTTTTGTTAATCATGGAGAAACAATGAATTCAAGGGTGAGTGATGATAAAATTTTGTGCAAAAATGCATTGATTTTTTGAACTAAGAGAAATTGACCCATATGAGTTCTTGATTATGATTTTGCTTGATGTATTTAAAGTTTTGAAAGAGAATAAAAGTGGTATAAGTTTATTAATAAGCTAACCGATGACTTAAAATTTGGGTGCAGTTGTGGCTAGATGGAAGCATTTTAAAAGAATTTTGCATACAGAACTGTGCATGGTGTAAAATTTTTATTAATGATTGAATTTTCCTGAAATTTGGCATAATGTCACTACTTAGTCTGTAGTATGACTTAGGATGTAAAATGTTGTAAAATCCAGAAAATACTTTTTCATATTGGGTACATACCTCTAATTATTTTTAGAATCGGTAGGAGAAGAAAGTAGTGCAGAAAAAATTACAAGTTCCTTAATTTGTAGACCTGAATAAAAAAACTGTGATAAGGTATTAAATTGAGCCTCATACTTGTTGATAAGGAGTATGTTCCCTTGCAAAAAAGCTTGTCAGATGTAATTTATCAAGAAGATCAGCAGAATTATTTTATGTATTATAACACCAGTGAGAAGTCTTGAAATCCCCTACTTTCACTTTCATTTTCAGAGGTTAACGCAGACAGACGCATTTTGCCAGAAAACGAATCTGACATGCCACCTCGAGATTTTAACCAAGGAAAGACAACTTGATGTGCTTTGATTTGAGGGGTCACTCAATGCTGAACGAAAATTAGGGACATTGCTATGTGAAGAAACGTTAACATTGCCGCCTATGGGAAAACAATTAGTGGGCTGTACCCATCTATGCCTTTGACCTCGTCCCCAACGACTTGGGAGAAGGATATATAAATCTGGTACATCAAGGAAACGTGGGAGTGTACGCTCGGTTCGCTGTAGCAACGACAGAAACCATCTGTGCCCTAGCCTACTGTGAATGTCCCGGACTGTTGATGATCGATCAGTCCCGTGAAGTCCGACAAATCTAACTTCATCAGAAGAAAAAAAACAGAAAATGGATTCCCAGCAAATGTTAAAACTCGTCGAATCTCAAAACGCACTGCGACCTCACTTTCGAGGAATCTATGCTTCCAATACTTTACCTGATCGGGTACGCCAATTTCCTTCTGCTTACGTGTCCAATACGGACCCCATCGAGAAGAAGGGGACCCATTGGATCGCCTACTGGTTTGTCAGTGCCGACCAATGCGAATTTTTTGATAGTTTTGGACGATTACCAGAAGATTACGACGAGCGTCTCAGAGACTTTGTGGACCGCAACTCGCTGTTATGTGTTTACAACAACGTTCAAGTACAACCAGACTCGACCGACACTTGTGGACTTTACGTATTATATTTTCTGAACTGTCGTGCCAAGGGGATCTCCATGCCACGCATCGTCCGAGAGTCCTCCGAAACGCTTGTGAAGGACGTCATTTTGAAAAAAGAACTAAAAGACTTTGGTCTTAACCACAGACTGCGGAGATTTGAGGTCTCCGGAGACCTGAAGTTTCCGGAGACTGAAAGTTTTCCGGAGACCAAAAGTTTCCGGAGTCTCCAAGTCCTCCGCGGCGGCGGCGGCGGCGGAAATGAGGACAGATTTAAGTCTTGTCATTTTTTATTTTCTGAGGTCACAAATTGTTTTTACTGTGTGAATTTTTTTTTTCATGTGACATGGTATGAAATAATATAGGTATATATCTATGTATATGATCGTTCTATTTTCTGTTTTTAATCATGTAGTCTTTTTTTTTCTCTTGTATAAGGATGGGTTTTGTTGACGTGATTTAGAATGTAAAGTTAAAATTGAATTCATGTAGTAATGATATATTTTAAAAGATTTTATTCAATAAAAGTGTAACCAAAAAAAAAGGTTTTTTTTGTTGTTGTTTTTTTTTTTTAAATACGACCCTCGTCCTTCAGACGAATCAGTCGATCGAAGGTTCTCGAAGATGTACGATGCAATTCAAGACCCCCACTTCTTTTGCCGTCGTTAGCGGTACCATGTCGGGTAAGACTCATTTCGTATGGAACTTGTTGAAGCACGGTCGTGAACTATTTGACGTTCCTCCTCGAAAAATCGTGTACTGTTACTTGGAAGACCAACCCATCGTAGACGACATGCAGTCGAGTCTATCCAATTTTTCCACCTACCGAGGTCTACCCAGTCGAGAAGACTTAAGAGAATGGTGCATGGATTCACCTCACACGGTCGTCATCCTGGACGACATGATTCATTTGGTAACCAAGAGTGCCGACGCCTTACACCTGTTTCAGACCATGGTGTCTCACGCCAACGTGACGGCCTTCCTCTTGTCTCAAAACATATATCCGCCTGGGGTTTATGAAAAGAGCATCTTGTTAAACTGTCAACACGTGGTCTTGTTTAAAAACGTGAGAGACAATCGTCAAATCATCACGTTTGGGAGTCAAGTGTTCACGGGACGATCCAAATTTTGGATGGACGCGTACGCCAAAGCCGTGCGGCGTCCTTACGGATACATTCTGGTGGACCTGACCAATCACTGTCCTGAAGAACGACGATTGCGTACCAACGTCTTACCGGAGGAAGGAGAAACCGTTGTTTACCTACCCCAATAAATACCACCGAAACTCGCCAACCCCGTCATTTCATCATGTCCCAGAGAACAAGACGCCACGATCTCTTCTTGCAATTTCTGTACTCGATAGATCCTCAACAAAAGAAAGAACTGGTAGGCATGGCCACTGAAGAACAGTTGAAAGCCTTCCGGGAAATAGCTATGAATTTATATTTGGGTCATCCGGTCGTGTCCTCTTACTACAGAACAAAACTGAAAGCTCACAAGACTCTCCTTCAGTCTCTTGCTGACCGTAACGTCGACAACACGGACGTTAAGAAATTACTCAGGAGACATCCCGAAGCTATTTCTTTGATTCTTAAACCTCACTTGAAAAAAAGATGGCAGAGGAGTACGTTCTCGTCAAAAAGACGACCCACGATCAGATGAAGCTTTGCCAGAATGAAAAAAAAGAGGTTAGAGATCAAGGGACGAATACCGAGGAATCCACTGACCATTCCAAAGAAAGTCAAACTGAATCAGATGTTTCGAATGCAAAAACCGTTCCAGACCTCCAGACCGAATTCGGATTGATTTATGCCAAACCCTTAAAGAGGAAATCTCCTCCGGGTCTGCGTACTTTCCAACAGAAGAAAAATAAGACTTGGATCAAGTTTTAAACATTTTATTGACATTTAAAAAAAAAATTGTCAAACGTTCACACGTATCATGTATTCAAAATGAAAAAAACAAACCAATAAATGACGAAAATTACAAATGGTCTTTTTCTTTCAATATCCGTAAGGTAGGGTCGTGAGGTCCTTCTGGACGACCCTTTTTGTGTAGACAGCTGAATATTGTTTCAGTTCTTCTTGGGAGTAGAGTTCCGAGTGAATTTTTTCCCGGCAGATCTTATTTGAATTTTTTGTATGATAGATACCGAGGTCGGGTTCTTCCCTGTTAAACATGGCATCCTTCATGCTTTCCAGATTCAGAATTTGCGAATTGGTAGTTCAAGGAAAATCCCTTGACTTTACATACTCGCTTACCGTTATGTGTCTGGTAAGCGTAATTCTTGGGACCGTTACAGACAAATTCTGTGATCCAGTCCCCTTCTTCGAGTTCGTTTGTTAGTTCTCCTAGATAATCACCAACGGGAGGGTCCCAATCCCCTTCTTTGGTAGTGTAGATGACGGAATCTGTGTCCCAATACAGGACGCGAGTCTGTAAACGGTCTAGTAACTCGTACAGCTGGAGGCGGGCCCAACAGGTAGTGAAGGATGCCAGAAATACGTTTGTATGACCCGGTAAACACATCTCCTCGGAGGTACGTTTCGTTGACAGCATGAGGTTCTCGTCGTTGACAATCTGAAAGTCGACAATTTCGACGGTAGGATCGACCATGGATTGGTAGAGTACGTTTGCTTGACTGTCGTGCAAAAATTGAGTCTTTGTCAAATTCAAACGCTGTCCAAATTTTCCCCAAAAACTGTTTAAAAGTAATTTGGCCAGACTTCGAAGACCCGCATTAAACTCAACGTTACCCGGATCGAGTCTGATTCCTTCTTTGCGTTCGTACATCTCAATGTATCGATTCAGATCCTCATCTGTTTGAACCCATGACGGTCGACCACTGGCTTCTTGTTTAATTTTTAAGAAAAGGTTGATATAAGAGGCAAAGAGACCTCCAGTCAGAGCAGATGGATCGTATTTTGAAGTTTCGGACCAATGATACACCTCGTACATTTTCAAAATCTTGTATCCTTTCTGAACGGCTTTTTCGAGTTCGGGTGTACAGTAAGTCCCCGTCAAGGCTCTCTGTGCTTCAGTACAAGTACAAGGTTCTTGTTGCTGACGCTCCACACAAGTCCGACACAGAGGAAACGTCAATTTACCTCCCGTACGATAGCCCAAGACCGGATGAAAGAGACCACGAGGTGGCAAAACTTTGACTTTCACTAATCCAAAATAGGAAGAGAGGTCGTTAAAATCACGTGTGATGATCTCGGGGTGACCGATCGGATACCGACAGGTCTTGTTGACAAAGGTATACAGTGAGGTGAAATTCACGTACTTTATCTTGGTATCCCTGGTTGCTCGTTTGTACAAGACACATCCATTGGTACGTCCTCCCATGAGACTGTCGCGGGGATCCAGTCTGTCGACCAAATCGAGTTGGTCGACAAAAGTCCTGACTGTATCATCCGACTTCAACAGGACGTCGAATTCGTGTTCCCAGCAGACGACGACTTTGAGACCAAGTCCTCGAAGCTGACGTTCTTTGTGTCGTGTCAGGGCCAACAATTCCGATGCTGTCTGGTTCGAATTGGGTATCAGGACGTCGTCCCCATTCTTGTAACAGAGGGGACAACCGTGGTATCTGCATCCATGAAACTCGTACGCAACGCCACCTGGATTATCTAAACTGGGGGGAACGTAACCGTCTACAGAATACCGCGTTCCAGGAACGCGATATTCACCACGATCAGTGAGGGCATGTCGGATGTTGAAAATTCGTCCCTCGACTCGTGCACGTTTCCGTAACCATTCTAGCCATGCAATGGACTTTTTGCTGTAATTGACGCGAGAGTGGTATCCCTGCGGTGGAGGTCGAGCGATGGCAGAGGAAACAAATTCTTCTTATAACACTTGCAACCCCAGATCTTTGCGTGAAATCCATCGTCCTTCGTACAGCACTTCTGCTTGCCCGTCTAGTCGTCTCTCCATTAACCACTGTTCATCGTTGTTTTCCTGAACCAAGATCTTCCAGTCTTCGGGTAAGAATTTTGTCTTGAAGACGTTCATGCATAACGAAGCTATGGTACAGGAACCGAAAGCGTCGACACCCCGTCCTCCGTCTACGGACGTTGCTTCCCACAGAAGGTTTTTGAATTTGAGACAGGCTCGACGGAGGATGTCCACGTCGCTGCGGCAGTACTCGAGCATTTCCTTTTGGAAATCAAACACGACACCACTTGTTATTTTAGCGTCGTACCATTTTAAGAATTCCTGTCTGCCTTCTACCGACATTCCGCCGGGAACGTAAGTCTTGGCAGGAGGATAGGGCCCCAGGTAGTTTAAATTGGCCACACTCGTGAAAAAATGAGGAAAATATCCCTTTTTCAAAGAATCTAGTTGGAAGGCTTTGGGAAGTTTGGACAAGGCCATGGGAAGGAAATTAAAAGAGTCTATGACTCTAATTTGTAATCCGCTGATGTTGAACATCTGAATCTTGCTTCCTCTGTATATGGTAAAAGAGGGGCGAAGGGACTGTGAAAATAAATACTGAAGGAGAAACTGACCATCGTAAGACAAATTGTGGAAAAAGACAGTAAATCCTTTATGTTGTTCACTGAACATCCAAATTCCGAGATCGAATAGAGTCTTAAAGACACGTTCTCGACCCCCGCATCTACCGAGACAGGGAGGAGTCACATATGTTTTTGTCTTTTTGTCGATCTTAGAACAGGTCCCGCATCGATCTCCGCAATTTTCGCAGGTACTCTCAGACGTCAGGTCTTCCTTCTCGCATTGAAACAGGCAGTTTGACATACGGCTAGGACAAATGAATGTCTGGCTTGTCCACAGTGAGACTTCTGACAGTGTTGACAGAGTCGACACTCCCGGCAGGTCTTGTCTCGACATCGATGACAGTCGACTACAGGTCGGGGAGAATACCCGAATTCGCATTGCACGAGTTCGTCTCTCTGCGAGGTTTCAATGTCGGCAAAAATATATCGACGTTCATCTGGAGAGGAGGAAGGGTGAGCCCTGGCGTAGCATAAGTGTTCCGGTTCCACATACTGCTGGCAGGACTTACAAACGTAATATCCACATCGATGATCTTCTCGCTTCCGCTCCGATTGGTGAAATGTCTGGAGACAAATCGGACATTTATACATGACCTCGCAGGGTACGTCACCCCCCTCTGAGGGTAATTTATGACGTATGAAACAGGCACGGGAACGACAGCTACGATGGCAGTCCGGGCATGTTTGAATCTCTCCTTTTGTGCAATCGTTGGACAGACAGACGTTACAGTGTTTGGTGCAACTGTGCTTGTAAACCTTTTCGTAGGGTTTGAGACAGTGCGTACAGAATCGTGACCTTCCAAAAAAGCCAGTAATCTTTGTGATTGCGTGAAAATGTTCGACGCCGTCTTCGTCGTCGTGATATAAAAAGATCTTTTTGCGCTTCTCGTCGAGGTTGGGACTGACATATGAAAAAGCATCCCCCATTCTAGAACTGACGACGTAGATGTTGAGGAAATCTTCTAATCGCGGAAGATAGTCGTAGGTGAGCGGATTCTCGCTGGAGATGCCCATGGTCTGACAGACCCTTCTCGTCAGCGTGTCTTGTGCTCCTTTTTTATTATCGCGTAAATCATCGTAATACCACGTGGGACACTTCTCGAATTGAAAAAAAAATGTCTTCTGTCGTTAAAGTCGGGTACAGCGCTTTGATTCTCTGAATTTCGACAGGATGTGTCTTACAGGCACTAGTCAGAGCAACAAGAGTGGCTCGAATGAGACAAGCGTTGTCGAGATTTCGAATCTCTACAATGGAAAGTTTATTTTTTATCTTTCTGGTCAAATTTGACATCTTGACACCTCTTCCACCCCGTGGATATTTAATAGCGCCGAGATCAATTCGACAAGAAGAATCAAAGGGGATGTCCTCATTACTATTGAGAACAATCTCGAGACAATTTAACATGGCCTCGGCATCCATGTCCTCCATTGGTCGAAAAGGGATGTAGACAGGTAAATCTAGTCCGTCGTTATGAATGACACCTCTCATGATGTCTCCGGGTCGGAGGTCTTTCTTTGCTTGTTGTATTGCTTTCTCAAAGGCTTCTTTTAGAACATCTAAGGCCTCTTTCATTTTTTTTCTCTTGACGAAAGAGATGGTCTTTAAAAGTTAACTCAAAGGTGACCTCCTTAACACCCATCGTTTTCAGGTTCTTTCTTTTACCAAACGAATGTTGAAATCGTCTCTTCCCCCACCCGTCTGCACTCCCTCACTTAAAGGCTCTACTTGTACATTTTGGATGAGAGAGTCTCCTTGTTGTAAGGAAACGTCTGCTACATCTGAAAAATCCAGACTGAAAGGGGCATAGATCCCCTCGACCTCCATGTCCACCAGAAGGGACTGGTTACTGTGAAACGAAGTTTCTGCAATATCGTCAAAATCATTACCTTCCAGGTTTGACGAAGCCTGGATGTCATCCATCATGGATTGAGCAGAAGGAGGAGACGCGTCTGTCCATTCCATGCCTTCAATATCACGAAAGAGATCCTGTTCTCTGACAATGGGGCTTTAATAAAAGATTATACACATCTTATTTATCTTTCGAAATGGGTCATCATAAGTGAAACGATAAAAAATTATGACCATTTCGAGTTACCGTACTTAAAATATTTGAATTTATTATTTTTTAAGAATTTAATTATTATTATTATTATTATTATTATTATTATTATTATAAATATTTAAATAAGAGGGGAAAGGGGGGGGGGATTACTAGCATTTTTGAAAAATAATATGAAAAAAAAAGTTATGACCATTTCGAGTTACCATACTTAAAATATTTGAATTTATTATTTTTTAAAAATTTAAACGTTAATTATTATTATTATTAATATTTAAATAAAGGGGGGGGGGGTACGAGCATTTTAAGGAAAGAGAATTCGGAAATGTTTCCTTTCATATCACAATTCGTGTAAATATTTTCCGTATTACCTCTCTTTCTCCAGTCTCCGTCTTTTTATATCGATTTAAAAAACAGTCTTTGTAATATTGTAAAAACGATTCTAAAATTTGTATATTTTCCTCATCATTTTATAATAATAATACTTTTAAAAATAAAGAAAAAGAAAACACATGCGCACACCCTCAGACCCATACAATAACACATACACACGCACGCACACCCATACATCTTTCTCAAAGATTCACAATGATTGTTTTCTTCTAAAGTTTTTTTTTTAAATATTTAGAGCAAAGACAACTCGGTAATACATACTTCTTTTCATATCGCAATTCCTATAAATATTTTTCGTATTATCTCCCTTTCTCCAGTCTGCGTTTTGTGATATCTCACCGAGCGGAGATTTAAAAACCAGTCATTGTCATATTGTAAAACGTTTCTAAAATTTGTATATTTTCCTCACCATTTTATAATAATAATATTTTTAAAAATAAAGAAACACACACGCACATACGTACCCTCCATCTTTCTTAAAGATCTACAATGAATGCTTTCTTCTAAATGTGATTTTTTTTTTTTTTTGTTTGAATATATTTTTTAAAACATTAAACGGATAAAATATGAATGATTTCTCCAATTGTCCATTAAGAGTTACGTCTAGAAATAATAAATTGTATAGTATAACTAAAGAAATTTGAAATCTAACCACTCCCTACTCCCACCAAAACGGAAAGGGGGGGGGGTATATTTGTCTTTCAAACAAAATTCCTTTCATGTCATAATATACCAATCTTTTTTTTTTTCGTATTAGCTCCCTTTCTCCAGTCGGCGTCTTGTAACCGAGCGAGGATTTAATGCATTCATTTTGTATATTTAAAATCGGACATAATAATATTGTTATACACTTTTAAATAAGTATACTTCCCTTAATCATTTTTGGTTAAAACAAACAACCAAAAAAAAAACAACAACAACAATAACAACACACATACTTTTTTTTTATCTCATAAATTTTATCCAATTCTTTATTTATAGTTCTCTTCTTTTTCCAATTTTTTTTTCTTTGCTTGGACTTGATTTGCTTTGGATTTTGTATTTTTATACATGTTTTATATCTGGGTTTTTTTTTCTTACCTATCAGGGAATAAATTTCCTCTCTTATATTCCTGACTGTGCTTTTTTTTTCGTGATTATCCTTACTATCATAATCTCCGAATATTAAATGACAATATCCACATTGATACATTTTTTTTTTGTTAGATGAAGATGTTACGTTCTTACTGATCTGAGGGTTGCTATTAGACTACTCAAGAAATAAATGTGCAGAGATTTTATACGATTTTCAGTGATGTTATTTTTTACTGACAAATTCTATTGGTTGTCAGCTATCATCCGTAAACAACAGTCTGTTACCAAGAGAGATTTCGAAATAGTCTTTTTTTTTTAAATACATATACAGAGTATAATAGACTCACGAAATCAATAGAATGAATAACAGTCGACATTTGAATTAAAGAATACAATTTTAATTTCTTTTCTTTTTTAATTTAATCTTATAATCCTTTGTTTAATATAATCGACATATTGAAAAAAAAATAAGAAGAATAAAAATAAATAAGTATTTCAATTTTTCATTGAGGTCTATTTTTTATTCAATGGCTATAGGATCCTTCGTACACTTTCTTAGTGGTTTTTTGTGTGTTTTTTTTAGATTTTTTTTTTTTTTTTTTTTAAATAAATTGGTTATAACCTGTCAAATATCAGTAAAAATTATTCTCTTTTTGTTGAAGTTATCATCCATCAAGTAACAACACTTCATTTTGTTATTTTTTGTTTCATTTCATTTTTCTTTGTCATAATATAAACGTAGATTCATTTCACCATTCTCCTCATTCATTTTACAACCATTCTTTCATGAAGCCTTTTTCCAACTTCACATATAGTTTTAATAATAACACAAACAAAATATTATCATTTTGAGTTCTAGATTTTATTCTTTTCGCGATATTACATGTACAATGTCATCGCGAATCTTTTCTTCTTTCTACAAAATAAAAAAAAAACATATAGTACACAATTTAATATTTGTATACTAATATGTGTGTGTGTATGTGTGTGTGTGTGTGAGAGGATGTGTATGTACATGTGTGACGGAGTGTGTGCGTGAGAGAGAGAGAGAGAGAGTCACATTCATTTTTCTTCCCCATTTTTCTCTTCATTTTTTTCTTCCACCGTCATTTCATTTTTTTCTTCCACCGTCAATGACTCGCTTCTGAAATATTTTTTTAAAGTAATATTTACTGTTTTTGAGTAGTTAAGTGAGTAGCTGAGAGAGAGAGAGAGATTTGCTTACTGTTCCTCTTCTTCGAACGTGCTGTCACCAAGTAACTGCACCAAGCTATCCGAACTACAAAATAATAAGATTTTCTCAATACCGACAGACTACATATTATTTCTATAAGATTATTCCACTTGACGTTAAAAAAAGATAACCTACTCTTCAACACTAATTATCTCCATCACAAGACGGCTGAAAATAAATCATTACAATAATCAGTAAATGAAAGATAAAGTAAATCCATATATATATATATATATATATATATATATATATATATATATATATATATATATATATATATATATAATAAAGAAATAAACGTTTAAGAAAATTATGTATTAGCTTAAAGGAATCCCAACAAAAAAAATATTTGTAAGAAAAGTATAAAATACTAACGGCGGACGTCGTGGTGCGTTCGGCGGTCTAAATGGAAAAAAAGATATCTATTTGTCTGATCTAACTATTTATCTATCTGACTATATATTAATAATACTTTTGTGA